AGAGAGAGAGAGAGAGAGAGAGAGAGAGAGACAGAGACAGACAGAGAGAGAGAGAGAGGTTTAAAACCCCTTGCAACATTATAAAGTAAAAAGGAGAAAAGGAGAGAGTAATTGCAAGAGTCTGAGAAAGACAGGGAGAAAGAGACGAGGAAAGAGAGAAAAAAAAAGGGAAAATTATAGTATAAACAATAATTTCCAATAAACAGAGGGTATAAAGGCAAAGATACTTCAAACCACTCAAGGTCCATATTCAACTAAAAAGCTTAAATATAAAATAAGGAGAGTTTCAAGTGATAAGATTTAAAAATATTCAAGGTTGAAATATACCAAGTTTTCCACGTGAAATATCTCCCGTTGTAGTCAATGTGATCACAACGAGACAATAGCCAGTGGTAAGTTCTTTCTGTTTGTTGTTGTTATCTATCCAGATTGTGAGTGGTTGGAGGGTGTCACTGGTAGGTCCTACTTCTTTAATTTCCCCTCTGTTGTTTCTGTCTGTCTTACTTTTTCCCAGCACTAAATGACCATTATTGTGTCAATGTGCTTCTCTTTACTCAAACAAACATCAGTACAGAGTTGTTTCTGTCTGTCTGTCTTACTTTTTCCCAGCACTAAATGACCATTATTGTGTCAATGTGCTTCTCTTTACTCAAACAAACATCAGTACAGAGTTGTTTCTGTCTGTCTGTCTTACTTTTTCCCAGCACTAAATGACCATTATTGTGTCAATGTGCTTCTCTTTACTCAAACAAACATCAGTACAGAGTAGTTTCTGTTTCAAAGAGTCAACTGGAAGTGCACCAAAAATCTAGAAACAAAATCTCTCACTGATAAAAACCATCAAAACTTTTGACCCAATCTTCCGTTCACAAAACCGTTGGTGTCATTTTTTGCTCTCAGCCAAAAGGTTCACTGAGGTGCCTACTATAAGGAGACTTTTCCCCCTTAGGCAAATAAAACCGTTCAAGACCACAGCTAGTTTCTTCGTGTTCTGAAACACACCACTTGAACGTGTGCAATTGATTTTCTGGATTAAAATCAGCCATATAAAAGCCCCTGATTTTTACCAACTTTTGACACGCCTGTGATCGAAAAGTACAACTTTCTCAATTTGGCAGCACATACATTTCATCTCACAAAACCTTCACTTGCCTACAAATGTACAACGTACACCCTTCAGCCAATAGAAATTTTCCAAAAACACAGCTGTCCAACTTACATTTTTCTGCAGAGTTCTAAAGTGTTCATCATAATAATAATAATAACAAATAATAATAATAATGATATATATAAATATTTATGCTGCGCATTTCCATTTTCTAAAAAGTGCTCAATGCGCATTACATTCATAAAGGTATCACATTAAATAAATTAATGGACATGTGAGTACGTAAAACATAGTATTATATATATATAAATGTATAAAACATTTCTATGAGAAAATTAGTCACGCAGCGAGCCTGGCAATACGTTCATTAAAAAATGCAGAATGCTATAAAAATTCACCAACGGTCACAATAAAACTGAAGCTTGAATGGCTACAGACAGAATGAAATATTTGATAAAACATTCATTCTCTATAGAGAGAATAACATTTTCGTTCCCTCTGTTTCTCTCCCTGTCTCTGTCTCTTTCTCTAGCTGTCTCTCTTCTCTTTCTCTTCTTCTCACACATTATTTCTTCAGTCTCACGGTTGGGCATACACATGCATATATACAAAAAGTAACAATTCATCGTTATGACAAGAATGCATTTGTGAACAAGTTATAAAGCTTCAGCTGCTTCTTGAAAATTTAATAGTAGGGGCATCCTTGTTATTTTGAACGGGAGTTTGTTTCATACATGGGGACCAAAGAAGAAAAAGGAACGCTCGCCGTATGTTTTGTACTTTTGTTTTGAGGTTCTAAGAATGAGTTTGTCAGTGGCTGATCTAAGGGCTCTGGTTGGACGATATGTGTCATGAGTCCTTGGAAACTGAAAATTTACATTTTTGTGTGCCTTTAATCAATGTTTTTCAATAAAAGCCACTCAAAAATGTGTTTTTTAAATGGACGTAAAGGGTGTTTAGTCCCCCAAAAAAGAAAGTTAGAAAAAGTTGCCATCGACCACAAAAATGCTGATTTCTTTGATTTCATTATTTTGACGAGCGCCTGATTTCATCACATTGCCTTACATATAATTCCAAGAGTTGTTTTAGATAAACAGTTGCAGTATGACCCCGTGTCATACACAACCCCCAACGTGCACCGACCTCTCGCCAAAGTCACACATCATATCCACTCGGCGGATCTGCGACTCTCCCGTGAGGATGTCCACCTCGGTCTCGATCACAGCGGCGCAGTAAATGAAGTAGTTGAACAGAGGGTCGCCGATGTTCTCCGTGTTGCTGAGGGAGGAATTGGCAAGTAAGTAGAGGCCTATACAACTGAAGGGTGTGTACGTAGCACGAGTGGTGTTTGACTGACACCAATAGGTCCATCGTGAGATAAGATGAGAGAAAGAATAAGATAAGACAAGATTTTATTGATCACCATACAGAGACATTTTCTGGGGCATGGTAAATGCAACCCCCCTGCCACACACACATACACACACATCAATACTCTCTCTCTCACACGCACAAGCACACACACATGCGTGTGTGCACACACACACATCAATACTTTTTCTCTCTCTGTCTCTCTCTCATACACAGACACACACACACACATCAATACTCCCTGTCTCTCTCTCTCTCTCTCTCTCTCTCTCTCTCACACACACATGAATACTCTCTCTCTCTTTCTCTCTCACACACACATACACACACACACACACTCACAACACACAAATTCTGTTTCAGTTTAAGTTTTAGTACAAGTTGTACAGCACTTCCAACACAAAAAGGTCATATAACTGCCAAAGATCAGATGTGTCAGTAGACAGAAATGCACAAAAAAGAAGGAGGAGTGATAAGGAAGGTAGATGTTTGAAAGGAAAGAGGGAGCACTGCGAACCACACAAGAGCACCCGCCGACCACCCACTCTCACTTGTTCATAGACTCACGTGTACTTTGCAGAGAGGTCCACGTTGCTAGTGATACATTTCCCACAAAGATCTTTCCAGTCTAAGTCGGGGAACTTTTCCCTGATTGGCTGTATTCTTTCCTTTAGAATATTGCAGGCTCCAATGGCAGACTGGGTGAGGTGGGGGTGGGGAGGGAGTGGGAGATGGGGTTGGAGAGGGAGAGGGAGAGGGAGAGGGAGAGGAGGGAGATGGGGTTGGGGAGGGACAGGGAGGTGGGGTTGAGGAGGGAGAGGGAGGAGAAGGAGGTATGGGAGGGAGAGGGGAAGAAGAGAATCACAAAGATAGATGTAGATTAAAACTTCTTAGTTAAAGTAAAAGTTTTAAGACACTTGCAACACAAATAGGTAATATAACTGCTGAAAATTGGAGGTGTTTCTAGAGAGTAAGAAACAAAGAAAAGAAGGAGGAGAGACAAGGACGGTAAATGTTTGAAAGGATAGAAGGAGCAAACCACACCAGAACACCCAGCAACCGTCCAAATGTAGATTTCTGATCTCTTTTTCATAGAAAATTTACAATGTTACTTCATGTATACAAACGTACTATAATTCTCTTTCCTCTGATACTTGTTATAATGCTAACTGAAAACAATAGACAAGTGTGAGTAGAAATATAAACAACTGCTCAACAGATAACTGAAATTGGCTGTGATAAAATATTTTTTTCCTCCACATGTCTTCATAGTTTCTGCAGCAAAAAAACGACGGAGGCTCTATTGGTCTAGAGGTTACAGTGTTTGCCTCTCATTCAATAGGTCCCAGGTTCAAAAAGTGACATTGACGGAAAATTCTCTTTTCTAAAATCTTCTTTCATTTCCTTTCCTGCTCTCATACCATGATCTGTAGTCTGCTTTCGTCTCCACTTTCTGCCCCCACCCCTCACCTCCTTTGCCCCCTCCTCTGGGCTCCTGACTCTTTCTGCAGCCTTTCCACTGCTACTCCTTGGCTCCTTTTTACTGTTGTCTTTCAGCCACACCCCTGATGTTATGGTAGAAAAAATCTACACCTAGCCTTTTCAGGTAAGGGCGAAAATTCTCAGAGGTCCCGTGTGCAAGTTGAGCATGTTAAAGATTCCTTAGAGGTCCAAAATTGATAAGAGAAGGCTTCGAAATTAATTCCAACCAAACTAAAAATGTTTACTGTATCCCACACGCTCATTTGATCTTATGCAGTTGCGAGCGCCATAAAACACTTACCAGAAAAAAAAACGAGAGAAAGAAAAGGAGAGAGAGAGAGAGAGACAAGCAGACAACTGGACAAAGAATCCTGACCTGCGTGGCGAGCTCACTGGACACACTGCCCCCTGACCCCCAGTTGTTGGGAGAGATGATGTTCTGGGTCGGCCTGACCTTGACCTTGTCGATCGGCACACCCAGGCTGTGGGCCACTCCCTGGGCAAGCTGGGGGTGAGAAAATTCTTTGTTTTAAAAAATGTATGGGCTTTTTAAAATAGGGAGGCATCGTGGTGAAATCAAGGGCTCATCAAAATAGTGAATTCGAAGAAATTGACATAATATCTTTCTGTCGGTTTGGAAACTTTTCTCGAATTTTTGTTTTTGGGCTCAACACATTTTATGTGCGTATAAAAACACATCTCTGTACGGATTTGACTGAAAAACACTAATTAATGGCACAAAAACATCAGATTTTCAGTTTCCAAAGACTCTCAAGCTTTGGAAGTAATTGAACTTTGACGACCATTTTCTCGCTAATTTGACCTCTAAAACCAGGCAACACCCCCAACTCCTTCAATCACAAACATCTGACTTCTATTTAAGATATATTGGTATTTTTTCACCCAAAAGCAAGGCAAATCATCACGCTTTAGGCTGATACCAATAACTAAATGCGTCTAAAAATTGATGAGCGCCTGATTCCACCACGTCGTTACACAATTTTTGCCTCCATCAACAAAATTTAGATCATTCATGAGGTGGGCTTTGACTCTGCCTGTCAGGCCAACCCGGGCTGACAGGGAAATAACGAACAAGCAATTCCTACTTTCCCTCTTACATTTTTTTCTAGATGTGTCACGATTTGGTGGAATCAGGCGCTTGTCTATTTTTGGGCATGTGGAGTTATTGGTGTCATCTAAAAGCTTGTTCGTTTGTCTATCTTTTGATGAGGAAAATACCCATTTATCTAGAATAGAAGTTGAAATATTAGCGATTGAAAGATGTCGAAAAGTGTGGTTTTAGTGGTAAAATAAGCGAGAAAATGTACGCCAAAGTTTGTGAATTTCAATAGCTAGAGAGTCCTTGAAAACTATTTTTAGAATTACTTATTTTGTGCCTCAAATCAAGTTTTTTCAGTAAAAATTACACGGACATGTGTTTTTAAATGGTCACAAAAGCTGTTGAGACCAACAAAAAAAAATTAGATAAAAATTCCCAAACCTGCGGAAAAATGCCAGTTTTTTCACTTTCATTATTTTGATTTCACTATGCTGCCTCATATATTAATGTGTCAAATGATGCAGAATTAGCTCAGCTTTAAACTGGTATGCTGCATGAGTGGGTAGAGTAAGCCTATAACACAAAGATTTGGTGAGTACATTTTCAAATTTCTTTTGGACGCCACTGTATTATAATGATTCTGTTCACGACGCACACCTGTCATAGACGACCAATTTTCATTTCAACAAAGGGTGGCCCTTTCGGACAAATTTGACTGTATTTATATATTAAAACTCTGCTGGGTTAATTACAGAACAAGTGTTTGGCTGACCTTCCTGTCTCACCTTGTCCCATCTCCACCCCTCCCTGTCTCACCTTGGTATAGAGTCCTTGCCCCATCTCCACGCCTCCCTGGCTGACGAGAATGCTGCCGTCCTGGGCAAAGATGGACACGTTGGCCGTGAAGCCGTTGCCAAAGTAGGCCACCCCGTACTTGACGGAGGTCATGGTGATGCCACGCTTCTTCCACAGGTTCTCCTGGAGGGGGCGACGAGAATTAAAAAGTGTTAACGACAAGGATTCAAAAGTATTCAAAAGCCTTCAATACAAAAATTCAAAAGTATTCAAAAGTCTTAACGACAAGAACTTAACAACAAGAATTCAATAGTCTTAACATCTATGTATTCATCCATCCATCCATCCATCCATCCATCCGTCCCTCCACCCACCCACCCATTCATCCTTCCGTCCATTCACCCATCCATCCATCTACCCATTCATCCACCTCTCTTCTGTTCAGCTTGTTCTTAGTATTTCGTGATCTCAGAGCTTTCTTGTTGTATTTCCATTTGTGTCACGAAGCAGTGGAATCAGGCGCTCGTCAATTTTGGGGCATATGAAATTATTGGTATCATCTTAAAGCTTGTCCATTTGCTTTGCTTTAGATGGAAAATGTATCCATTTATCTTGAATAAAAGTCAAGATATTGCGATTAAACAAGGTGGGGGTCGTTTGGTTTCACAGGTCAAATTAGCGAAAAAATGGCCGCCTAAGTGCGTTCTTTTCAAAGCTTGAGAGTCCGTGGAAACAGAAAAAGTCCATCTATTATGCCTTTAATCAGCATTTTTCAGTAAAATCCACACAGAAATGTGTTCTTTAATGAGCATGAAAGGTGTTGAGCCAGAAAACAAAAACTCGACAAAAGCTCCCAAACCTGCGGAAGAATGCGTCTCCTTCCTTTGATTATTTTGACCAGCACCTGATTTCACCACGAGGCCTCACATTTTTTAAAAACTGTGAAAATGTGACTTCTTCTTAAGCTCACTCTTTGTTATGAACTGTTTTCACTGTTATTAAAAATGGAGATAGGACAAGAAAGCACTGCACGATATATTAACAAAAAAGCGAACTTTTATGGTGACTCTGTTTAAAAAGGACAGAAATCATCGTGGCTCTTTCTGTGATATGTTTAGAAAAAGTTACGTGTCTTTTTTTGTGCCATACAAAACCTGGATGTTTCGGGGTGTGGTTTTAATGTAGGTGTTTCTACGCCCCCCATCAACATAGTTTAGATCATTTACAAGGCTAGCTTTCACCCAGCCTGTCAGGATCAGCCTAGGCTGAGAAGATACAACATCCCAGCAAAAAGACCAGGATACTTGATAAAAATTCTCCCCATTCTGGAATCAAACTTTGGTCTTTGGCATGCACCGGTATAGTTCCTAACTACTACAGCACGGGGGATGGAACATTGCGCATGTTTTATCCTGTTGTATAAGTAATTGCTCAATGAGCTGCCCTTCCTATGTGCAGTAAATTGCGCAGGTTTTTGAGTGTGGTATCGATCAAGAATCAGAATCCTGACCTCAACCATGTTGAAATGACTGAGTTTCCACTGAAAACTGTTCAAATAGTAGACATTTCTACCTGGTTGTGTGTCGGAGGGGGGGGGAGGTGGGTGTTCATTGTTTAGGTAAAAATAGTCTGATGAGTTTGTCTCAGAAGAACCAGGAAATAAGTAAACATATAAGCAGTCTTGCATAATTAGATGTGTTTGCCCGTCTTCCACTTCCTTGTGGTCAGCAGGGGGAAAAAAATACCAAGACTGTTTTATCTGTTTGTAAATGCCAGCATAAATTTGTAAAAATATGCATACAATGAAATTAAAAAACAGTCTTGATAATTGGGTGATTGAAGAAGTGTACTACTTACTTAAACTTATACATAAAGAATTTCAAGTCGGTACTGTTGTGTATGGGACATAACAAGGTTATTGTCCATCCCTATTTTAAGGGAGCTACCTCCCGTCACTTTAGACATGCGCAGTAGCCACTAGTGGGGTGAGTAATAAGTTCAGTTGCTGTCCGAGATTCGTGTGGTGAGCAGCTGTTCTTGTGCTTGTGTCGGTTAGCCTAGTGACGTGTTCTGGATTAAAGTAAACCCAAAGTAGACAAACAAGTACCACACTGAATACCAGCGCAACTTAAGAAACGCTCAATACCAAAAATCCATGCACAATTTTCCAACAGGTTTTGGGAAAACTCCTCTGAACTTTTTGACAATAGGATTAAAAACCTGCGCAATTTTCTGCTGCCCAACACCAGTCTCCAGTACCCTGAACGTCGACTGACCTGGTTGAAGGCGTCCACCTGTCTGATCCTGCCCTCTACCTCGGCAGTGTCCTTGAGACGTCGCCACACCTCCCTGATGGTGCAGTGGGTCATGGCGTGGCCGTGCAGATCCGTCTGGGAACAAACAACGCAAGAACTTACAGAATCTTTTCACGCAAGAAGATCTGATGACGTTAATTCATAATATTGTGCTCTCAGCACTTAATAATTTTTCAATAAAATTTTATGAAAGATACCAGTAATAATAACCCCTCATCATCATCATCACCATCATCACCATCATCATCATCACCATCATCATCATCATCATCATCATCATCATCACCATCATCACCATCATCACCATCATCATCAC